TGATTTTTAAGAATGAGAAAAGAGAAAACCACGATATTTTGGTATTTAAAATATCAAAATATTTAATTATAATTATTAAATATGTACAAAATATAATTTTATCAAATTCATTATATAATAATTATTAAATTTCTTAATATTTTTAATGCTAAAATATTTTAATTTTCTGTTTCTTCTTTAAAAATTGCAATAGTTACTAACACAATTATTATTTATGTCGAGGATGGATCTCCAATTCAATGTCACAGGCTCGCCTCAGCAGTAATGAGCGGAGGTGTGCACTTCATTTCTTGAGATAATTTAAATAATGTTTTAAAAGACTACAATGGTTAATTTTGATTTTATTAAATTTAAATAATAATTAGAAGAAAATTTAATCTAATGAAAAAATTCAAATTTAAATACATAGTATTTTAAAATATCCAAATAATGTATTTAAATATGTATGTATTTGAAATTCTTTTTTTTTTAATTCAATCCAAACAATGTATTTTAAAATATATGTATTTTAAATATATGTATTTCAAATACATACATGTATTTTAATTACACTCATCAAATTCAAATTCAAGTTTCCAAACATAACCTTTAAGAGCTTTTTAATTTGTATTCTTAAAATTCAAATTAAAATTATAACAAATATATTTTTATAATAAAATTATGTTAAAAATAAAAATAAAAATATAATTTATTAATTATTTAATTAAATTTATTTACATAATAATATTGTTAAAATTAATATTAATTTTTATTTTTTATAAATATATTTTGATTAAAAAAAATCTTAATATGTATTCAAAGGAGGAAAACTATTTTTTTATATACTAAATAAAATACATGTACTACAGTACAGGTACCGTATTAACTTCATTTTCTCCCACTTGTTACCTTTTTCCGGCACAATAAAATCGTGAGATTAAATTAACAGTACGCGCGGGGACAGCGTGTGGCAGCTCAGTGGTCCCCACAGTCCCACTTGCAGGAAAAGGACGACAAAGACTTGTCCAAGTTTTCTTGCTTCGTACCAAAAGACAGTGATTCATGGGACCCACCCTGTTCGAACCTCGGGACGCCGTTTTGCGCCACGTGTTGGATCAAGGTTTGACGGAACCGAGTTTCATGCATACTTTTGGAAGTATGGGAAGCATTCTCTTCTGGACAGTACAATTATTAAATTCACCTAACATGGTAAAAATGAGATTTACGGGAGTAACCCTTTTTGCCGTCTGTAAAATTAAAAACAATCAAGCGGTCCGCCCAAAAAAGTTAAAAAAAAAAGATAAAGCGTGTGCTGAGCGTCTGCGCTGCAGAGTCTGTACCCCTTGAAGCGTGAGAGAAAACAGCAAAGCGTGTGTAGTAATAATTAAATATATGATCAATTATTTAAATACTTTAATAATAATTTTTTATTAAAAATAAAATATTTTAAATTTAAATTATATACCATGCAAGTAATGTGAGATAGAAAATAAAAGAGATACCTTCTATATTTATTATGTAATTAAAATAAAAAATATATATAAACTAGTTACTGTTAAAATAAAAATAACATGATGATCATAAAATGAGATGAATATTATACCAAAATACAGTTTGGCTAAATGCCAATTCTCTCTATTTTAAGGTTTTTGTACATTTTTTTGTTAATTAAATTCTTTATGTATTTTTTAGTTTTTTAATTATAAAAAAATATTTTTTTAAATTTTTTTGTCAATTAATTTGTTAAAATTTTCTAAATATATATTTTTAATCTCTTAAATTATAATATATACATTTTTTTATCACTCAACTGATAATATATGTATATTTATTATTCTTTAACTTAAAAATTAAAGAGCTAAAAAAATATATAGACAAATTTAATGAACTAACCTAATATAAGAACTAAAATAATATATTTTTTATAGTTAAAGTTAAGGGACTTTATATAAAAAATAAAAAAATAAAAATGGTACAATTTTAAAAATTAATAAATTAAAATTAACATTTAACTTTATAATTTACAATTCATCATGCTCAGAAAAATATTAATTTTGGGTATGGATAAACTAATGTTGAATTTTTTTTAACAAATTGTAATTATTTATAAATATTAATTAAAAAATAAAAAAAATTCATATAAATCGAACACATAATTCACAAACAAATAAACTATTTTAATTTAAGATCTATATCATTAGATCCAAACAAGCTATTAAAACTAATGCTCATTAATTCATTATTCATTAATAATATTATAGTTTTTTCGCCGCGACACTGATATTTTCTTTTATCGGTCATCGTGTAGAAAAAAACTTTTCTGTACTTTTTTTTTTTGGTGAAAAACTTTTCTGTACTTTTAATGTAACTATTAAGTAAATATCGTGACACAATTACTGAAGCACCATTCTATCCCCACATAAAAAACGGGAACCATTGAAGTACCATGAGATGAACCATTTCGAACCAGACAGAACTCAACAGTCATATAATAAGTTGAAGTCAATGAGATGAGCCTGTTTTGGGTAAATCTTTCAAGTGGTCTTATTTTTGGGCAGACGTGAGGCATTCAGCTCCTTCATTATTTGTACTTTTTCTCTGTGGTTGAAATCCCCTTTACCCTATGCTCTTCATCTTGTGTAATGTGTGAAAATAAAGCCGAAGCACATAGGTTAGGTTGCACCTTGTTACCGAAGATGTTAAATAGTTTTTTTTTT